GTAAATATCACTGTTATCAGAATCATTCCTAACTCACCATCTCATCATTTCAGATCCAGACCGAAAGCACCTTTGCTGAAGACCTGAGGTTTCCAGAATCACGTGGCGCAACCTTAAATTCAGTATTTTACTGCTGTTTATGTAGGATTGGGGGAAGGGAGGGAGAAGCTCATAGAACACTATGAAAAATTAAGTTTCTCTTCTTTAACGGTCTATGAGTAAATTGAGATTTGCATGAAAAGAAAGTCAAAGGAAAAGAGATATTGGGTCCAAAATTAAGCTGAATGACTTCCTTGCTCATTTCTACCTAAATGCCTTAGGTGTTACGTATATAGGGGTGACTTGTTAGACTCTTAAAGGAAAAGAAGAAAAATTTAGGCTGTAAAAGAAAAAGTGACTCCGTAAAACAAATTAAAACAAAAAAACAAAATCAAAATGGTGTATAATGAAATAATTGTGTTCCTCCATTTTCAATATGTTCTGAAGGGAGTAAGGCTGTTTAATTTGTGATCTGGTGAGTGTAATTGGTATTTATCTGAGCAATATTATCAAACTCATAGGTGTCAATACTTTCATTCCTCATTCTCAGCTGCTATTGTCTGTTGTGACTTTGTATAGGATTGGAATTTGTTGGGGGTAGAAGGAAAGAATGATCGAGAAGTCCTCGAATTTCAGTTTGTATGAATATTTTCCATGAACTATGTCTCTGTCTTCATTCAAACACAACCCATTTTCTTTTGGCTACTAAAGCCAGAGATTCTTCTCACAGTGTATGACTGAATTCTAATGGTGTAGACTTCTCAATTGTAAAGTTGAACAACTTTGAATTTACTATTTGTTAAGCATAGATGCTATAAGTAAGCAGTAATGCACTGTAATTTATTCTAAAGTAAATTGAGGGTATCCATAGAGTTGGTGTGCAATCTTAAATTGCACACTATTTCAAATTGCACATGAACTTTATGGCCACCTGGTATTTTATTTTACTTTAAATTTTTAATTAAGTCATAAACACATAAATCATGTATACATTAATGCATTTATGGGGTACAGTGTGCTGATTTCATATAGAATTAGAACATTTACATCACACTGGTTAATATATACCTCGTCTCATTTACTTAATTATTGTTTTAAGACATTTATACTCTTTACTTAACAGATCCAACCTGTACCCTTGCATTATGCACCATAGGTGTGATCCCACCATTCACCCTCCCTTGATCTGACCTCCCGCCACCCCTTCTGTCCCCCATCCTGGGCCATAGTTGTGATCTATTCTTCATATGAAAGTGTGAGTGATTGTAAATTGGTTTCATAATAGTACTGAGTACATTGTATGTCTTTTCTTCCATTCTTGAGATACTTTACTAAGTAGGATGCTCCCTGGTATTTTTAATCATATAAACTTGATTCAGGTAAGGGTCAGTGAAAAACGATCACTAAGTTATCCTTGCCTGTCATCCATTAATGTGAACATATTGGGTGTTTAATTGCCCGGTATGTCAGAATACATGGAACAATCCTAAGGGGGGATTTTAAAATGCTATAGTTTTAACAAATACTAGGAGATGTAGTTCTGCAAGGCTGATCTACCTTCACAAAGTTGTGATTGAATGCTTCTCAGATCATAACTTTTTCTGTTACAAATTTGTAGTATGATTCAGATCTGCATTAGCTCTGTAAAGATTACATGCCTGGATTTTTCAAAAAAGAAACTGAGGTTTGAAGCAGGTAAGTTTCTTGAGCAATTTCACATAGCAAACAAGTATTAAAGCCTGAGGTTTAATGAAGGAAGAAGTCTGATTTCAGAATCTTTTGTGCTCTTAACTACCATAATATGCCTTATCTCAGTAGAAATGTTTGTTAGGATCCTTAAAAGATTGTAGAAGTTGAAAATTCATTACAAACCATAATAAATGTCATGAATATATGATAAACTGTGAGGAATGAGCTATTAAATTGTTGGCATAGTTATACCCATTGAAGTCTGAAAAAGAGTGAGAAGAGTGAGAATTCTAGTAGACAGAGGAGATGTACAGATGAGTTGCAATGTGAGTCTCCAAGAACGGCTGATGTAGCCAGGTATGTAGACAGGCATAAGATGGAGAGAATATATTAGGTTAGGGAGAAGTAGGGTGAAAACTTAATTTGATTTTATAAGATTTCTGAAACTCCCTTCTAATGATGGGTAGTAGGAAGCAGAACCATACCCCCAATCACCCGTACTATCTACTTTGCTTTAAATGTAAACCAGGCCAACATACAATTAGCCCCTATGCCCTGCTTTGTTTGTGGTGTATAGAAAGTTAATTCTCCTATAGACTAGGAAAAGGAACAAAAATTCAAGGATCTCTAGCAAAATAGGTAAAGAGCCTTCAGGGCATCCTATAAAAGAAAAAAAAAAAGAAAAAGGAGGGTTTCTGTAGTTAATCTCTGAGTCCCCCTGAGATGCCTGGAACAATTCTGCATGTGGGAGGCAAATTTTTGTGTATAAAACTCCAGTTAATTGCCTTAAGTTGAAATGGCAGTTTCAAATTAAACCGTACTTCAGATTAACATCTTTGATGCTCTAATATTTATGAGTTGATACCCTATAGTATCCATCTCTCTTTTTATATTGGTTTTTCAGCCACAAAATCACAATAGTAAAAAAATGTCAGGTGGTATTCCAGCCAACATTTAGTGGGCAGCTAGTAAGTCTGCACAGAGGGGATTCAGTGATGCTGTCCTCTCTATAGAGCTGGGATACAAATCACTTCCCTTTATTGATTGGGCACTCTCCACTTCTCTCTCTTCCACAGACCAGGGTATGTGTTTGAGGCAAGTATTGCTGGGTTTTTTTCTTGACTTTTGTAATCTTTTTCACTTTATTTCCTCCTGCACACAGAAGTATGGAGGAACATAGGCACAATCAGTCTATAAATCAAAACACACCTTAGTCGGGGGCCTTCTTAATAGTTCATGGCTTCCATCCATGTCTGAGCTGCTATTTAGAATGCCCTGCTTTCCATACTTCTGAAATGAAATAGTGACAAAGTATCATGGATTTTGAGTTAAATCAATGGATTTCAAATAGGTTAGCTTTGGAGAGTTACTACAAAGAGAATACACCTACATTAATTTTCCTAAATTCTAGTTTAGACTTCCTGGCCTGAAACTCATTGCATGTATAAAATCTTAATTATGGCTTCATTTATTGGCTTATAACAATAAATTTTTTATTTCAATATGGTGTATAATCTCCCTTAGGATAGCCATGGATAATTAGAAAGGGAATTCTAATAACACCTTATTTGGGGTCATTGAAATGATTTTGGAGTGTTAGAATAGGACAGCCCCTGAAAATTATTCTCCCAAGTCCAACTTCCTTATTTGAGAAATGGGAAAGACCTAGAAAAGTTATTTGACTAAGAGCAATGAAGAGGTATGGTAGGATTAGAACACAGAACCCTGTCAGTTGAAATAAGATATGACATTGGAAGGGTTGGCTCTGTTTTAGTGCAAACGATGCCACTCACAGTATAAAAATAGATATTGCCCATCACTTTTACCAATTCACATTTTCATTCTTCAAAGATTCAAATAAAACAGAAAATTGCATATTGAGAAATCTGTAATTTAATGCTTTTTAGAAGTAACTCTGATATTTCACTCTGTGGCATCTGATGATGTCTATTTGAAATGAGACTTTGCTAGCATGCAACCCATCCACGTAAGGAAGTTGGTTTTTATGTAATCAAATTTCAAAATAAGATACAAATTTCAAATAGAGAGGTCAGAGTAGATTTTTAAAAGTATTTCCATCACAAATAAATCAAAATATCCTTGGAGAATGTTTGAGCTCAATGAAAATGATTTCCATGCATATAAATTTGATGAAAGTTAAAGGAAAATTTGTAAATAATGGGTTATATTTATATGGAGTCCCCATATGTACATGAAATTCCTAGAGGATAATATATTTATGTCATATGTTTAAAATATATTTTACATTTAAAATGTTTAAAACATACTTTTAGTATATTTTATATATGTACATATATATATTCGTATGTTTAAAATATACTTTTAAATTTCACTTTTGCTAAAGCAAGGCTAACCATGATTTGACAGAAAGACCTGTTTATATTCTTTTCATTTTCTGTGACATTGAGTTAAAGTTGAAAGATATGTTGCTTAGGAATTTTTTATTATTTTACACTTAGTTTAGGATTTCTAATGAGTAGTTTTTGAGTCACTTCTGCAACAGAAGAGGAGTGAGAAAACCTCACATAAAGAGTAATCACGGCATCTGGGTGAGGTGCTTGGAGTCTGTCTGAGAATGCCTACAGGCCTTGCCTCATTCACTTTAGACCACTTGGAAAGCATTGCCCTTTATAAAACTATTACAGTTAATTCCTCAGCTGTTCTCTAGAGATATTTTCTAAAATCTCCGAAGATAGATGAAAACCTCATTAATGTGTTTTTATCCCAATATGTTGACCATGAGGTCACTTTCCGTAGCAAGTGACTTGCCTGGAAAGTTCATGGTGCTCCCTTATTAATCTTTCCTCCAACTCTGCTCCTACTATTATACATTTCTTAGTCTCTTTTTGCTTCTGAAATGCTTTGAAACACCTATTTCCATCCTGCAGAGTAAAATCTATTTAACATAGCCTGTTAGTAAGGAATGAAAGTGAAGAGGTAAGAAAGGATGATTGTGTATTCAATGAAACAATCTAGAATCCTTTATTTGACATTTGCTTTTGATCACACCATCTATGGTACGTCTGGAAGTTTTACAATCAGTTGAGTGGAGACTGCCTGTAGGAGGTAATTTAGAATGCTGCCACTAAAAGTTGCTAGGATTGAGCCTAAGGAAATATTCTAGAGAAAAAAATAAAAAATGATGAGTGAAGTGCTGGAATGGGGGATTAAATCCCTACTGAAAATTTCATCAACCTATTTAGATCAGCTCAGCCTTTAATTACACTTAGAAACATTCATCACTAAAAATC